TGTTTTAAATTTAGCCTTTTTGGTTGAATTTATATCACATTATATCACATATATAAAGTCTGCGTTTACCCGACACATTTTTTTAAGTGAAGTAAAACCTCAATGTAAATAGGTAACTCAGTTCAAATTTTCTGCATGTATTTCTTCTTTATATATTTAAGTTCGAAACGCAAAAACAAAAATGTATATTCCTATTTTCATTTTTGTGACAAGAGAATTTTAGTGTAAGAACAAGTAAACATAGGCACCATTAAGTCTGCACCTTCAGTTAGCTTGAATTGGAAATACCGTTACTTCTCATGAATTTGTTCGTTACTTTTGCATAGATTCTATTGTGTTTTAAAATTATATAATTAGTCGTTTAAAGAGCTCGAGACAAGTTTTAATAATATTTAAAAAAAACGGAAACCAAAGGAAAAGAAATTAGTCTGTCGGAAAGAAATATTATCATTAAGTTGTGGAAAGATGGCGAAAGTTTCAAAAAAATTGGGCAAACTATTGGAAGAACGTATTCTTCTGTTCAGCGCGTCGAAAACAATTAAAAAAAAAACGGAATTTTAACGTCAAAACCGCGATCTGGCCGTCCGAAAATATTATCTAAATAAATATTTCTCATAATAAAGAAAAAATTAATTAACATAAAATAATTTAAAAAATAATAAATAATAGTTTAATAAAAGGGAATATATTTCAAATGGCATATCAATATTCCCAGTTTGGCATACATATTATATTCTCTTCAATATTCGCCGGTTGATTAAGTTAAAAGAGCGTATGTGTACAGATTCACCGCTGTTATAAAAGCGAGAAATGTTATTTGTTTCTCCTGTTTCTCGTTCTTCCAAGTTCTCTGGCTCAAACATCCTCCCGACATAATACTTGAGGGTGGTACCAGGGGAATCGGTACATTACGATAGGATGTTAATTTGGATTAAAGTTCCATACTGACATGAGATTCCAACTCTCGATGCTTCCCTCTCGTAAAAAAAAAAATATAATTATGTGTGTATGTAAACAAATATGGAAGAGCCATACACATTATGTTTGTCAATTTGTCTACATACAACAAATGTATGTAAATTATCTTATTGTGTACAAAACCTTCTTTTTTGTACTATGTGAGTTTCAATTTGAATCTGAATTTATTTGTAAAATATTCTTCATTTAATACATTTTCTAAATCTAACTTCTTAACTATGTACATATATGTACTTTCTTTTTATTGCATTGTCCCAGTTCACACACGGACAATTTTGTCGCCCAAACCGATTGTTTGTGGGCGAGGGGACGACGAGGAAAGATGAAAACTTGTGCTCGTGCTCGGGTAGCACACTTTGTATTCTTGTTCGTAACAGCTCGATGCTACACACTTCTGCATTAATTTTAATTTTCTAATTGTTTTCATGATTGCAAGAGCGCTCGGTTTCAACTGAATATAAATATACGATTCGTTCAGAAATTTGAATTTTGTTGTCTTTTTTTTATGTAATATGCAAATATGTAAGCATAGAATAATATTTTGAAAAATTGTGAGTAAGGAGAAAATTAAGATACTCAAAGATATATAATTTAAATTTTTATTAACATTTAACAGTATTAAATGTAATAATATATACATACGAATGAAAAATCAACACACTCTAAGCAGAGAACTTAAAACAATGAGAAGGTGCAAATTGAATTTTGTATGATGCTCGATTGGTTGGCTGAAAATTTGAGATCAAGGAGTTCACCACTTTCTGTATATTTTGCTGTTATTAACAAAATGAGAATTTTAACAACGTTCTCTGACAAAATACGTATCTACCAAAAAGAGAAAATGAAATGATGAATGAGAAACAAGAAATACAAATGCCACTTCACATTTGCATGTTATTTTTTGCCATATAAACGTTTTATGATGAAAATTGATAATTATTATTTTTTGCACAAATGCTACATTGATAAAATGTGAAAGATTATGCAAAAAATGATATTTTACTATTTTCAAAATTTCTAATTTCAATGAATATTTATTGTATGTACATCAATATGTTATATTATATAATATAATATATTATCAATTATCAATAAATACATGTGAGCGCATGCTCTATATGTAAGTATGTATGTACATATGCATATGACGCGCAAAATAAGTAATGCATACACAAATCTACTACATTTAAGCGTACAAATGTCAGCAATAGGAAATACAAACATTGTTGTACAAAACAACAATTGTCTCAATAGCATCAGCCCAGAAATCAATATGTGCAGCCAAATTGACTCTAAATTTGTTAATATCACACCAACAACACTTTCATTCATGAACGCTGGCGCACAAGCAATAAGCTAAGTCGTTTCATTCATAAAAGCAAACGCTTCACATCTCCCGAGCATGCGTTTGCTACAAGCGTCTTTTCGCGACGATGGCAAAGCTAAAATCATAAATTGAACAAATTTCTGATATTTCCTCTAGAAGGGAAAAGTGCAACCCTCAAATATGGTATTAAATATTTTAGAATAAAGTGACAACATAGTAAATTTGTCGATTTACAATTCAAGAAACTTTTAAAGAAATATTCATATTCCTCTGATATGTATACAGTAAACCCGGTTAAGTATCACTCCTCCAATCCCTCTTATCTGCCGGTGTCTTGCTGCATCTCATTTTTTTTTTTAATTTTTTAAAGACAACGGTTTTTTTAATACATAGAAATAATTTTTTTTGGTACCACTGCTTATGTACTACAAGCACAAAATCTGCATCTTTGGTTTTGGCACTTAACCGGGTTCACTGTATTTGTCAAAGATTTACGTTAGTACGTTAATTTTTTGTACACACATTGACTTTGCACTTGCCGTATGAGATCTATGTTTGTAGAGTGTGTATGGCACATCTCGGATTTTCTACCAACAACACAATGTTGTGACGCTTTGTCGTCGCGTCAGTTCTTCGACAGATTGACTCTTTGACATAAAAGCAAAAAATGTGTCAACGGAGATTTCACATGAAGTAATGAGTGTACATATCTACATAAAAATACATACAAATGTGTAAACGACATAATATATGTATGTCCTGTTACATATGTTTACATGCATTTGAAAGAAAATTGAAGCATGAATGTGAAATACCGACGGTAAACACAATTCTGTACTTTTATGACTCCATAATGGTGTCAAGCAATTAATGATATTTTTAATAAATATATCAAAATACTTTATTAGTAATAATTTAAAATATTATTGATATTTTCTCATAATAAAGTAAAAATAATTAACATAAAATAATTAAAAATAATAATAATGTCAATAAAAGGAATAATTTCAAATGGCATATCAATATGCCGTTTTGCTCACATATATATTCTCTTCAATATTCGTCGGTTGGTTATGTTAAGAGAGCGTGTGTACAGATTCACCTGTTATATAAAGCGAAAATGTTATTGTTTCTCGTGCATCTGTGGTGACCCTTAAATTCCTACAAATTTTCGCTGTCGAACCTGCACCTTCTCATTGTTTAAGTTCTCTGCTCTAAGTTGGTGTAGCCGAACCGCACAAACATTTGCGACAATTTTATGAAGAATACCGTTAAATATTAAATGTATAATATATACATAAATGAATTCGATAATGAATTATTCTTAATAATTTTTTTTATTATATTATTTTTATATAAAATATTAAGATGATTTCAAATTATTTCTTTTAACCGCGAAGGTTTTAGTTCAGTTAGTAGTTAAATAAAATGATATTATTTTAAACAAGAACTGTAATTAATTCAAGAATGTTTTATAATTAATAAATAGAAAAAATATGGAGTAAAAAAATTCTGGATTTTGTGAGACCACCATCCCAACATACAAATGAAATATGCAACACACTTTAAGTGTGGCGTAGCCGAACCGCACAAACATTTGCGAAAATTTTATGAAAAGGAATGACAAAAAAAGTCGGTGCGAGTTACTGCACTCTTTCTGCTCGTGTGAACGCAAAGAGCGACATTAAAACATAATATTCCGATAATGAGCGACCAAAGAATCCCCATGTAAACGCAGTAGTACTTCAAATACCAATGCACGTCCCTTGTGTGACTAAAGTGCAGCCAACGCATTTTATCAGTTGCTGTTGCGTGTGCATTAGTATTATATTTGGTGTTCGCATGTTTTGTATCTGGTATATTTTCATACAATATAAAATAGTTTAAATTGTATAACTTATTACGTGTGTATGTGTGTATTTTATATTATATTATTCAATGTGTATCGTGAATATGTTTGAATGTATTTTTGTGTACGAGTACACTGTAATTTATGTGTTTCGTACTATTAGGGTATTCACAAGGTGTCATATTGTGTCATATCGTTATATTGTCTTATTTTTTTATCACTGTCACATCAACACTGTTGTTGTTTTCCATGCAAAATTAAAATACGGCAAATACAACACTGCGAGGTATGTTTTTCGAGTGTGCTATTCTAACAGCTGTATCTGTTTACACTTTAAAGTTTACGTTTGAGTGTCTAAAATTAATAAATGAAATAAATTTAATCAATAAAAGTGAAATATAAAAATATAATATGTTAACCTCTTAGCTGTAAGGATTATAAATTGGTTTCGCTTAATAAAGTTACATTCGAAAGAACGGACTTGTCATTGGCGCAGTTGAATGCGAACTAAAAATGCAAGAACAGGAAAAGTAAAATGTTTTTTTTTTGGTAAAGTAGTTAAATACTTTAAATAAGCGTGATTTTCAGTGCGAAAAATGCTGTGAATAATAAAAAATCACACATAAAGTTTAAAAAAAAAAGAGGAGTGAATAAAAACATCCAAAATGGAGAAATTCAAAGCATTGATAGAAACTCTGACTTTAATTTATTGTATTAAAAGACAACCATAATTATAAAGATTCAGACCATCTTGAAATTAAATATAGGTCACCTCAAGGACATTTGAAAAAAGTTAAGCAATAGCGACGCTAATAAAAATATTTTATAAAACATTTTCTTCTTGGTGAATAAGTATACGTATATATAAAAAAAGAACTTCTTCGCCGCTTTGGACAAACGAGAACATTCGACTATAAAAATAGTATACTTATAAAAAAACATTTCAACAATAAAATTGCATATCGAACTGCAACAACAACAGAAGCTGTTATATAAATATTGCAACAACAACGCACGGGAATACTTTTGACAACACTGTACAGCAATCGGCTGGCGTAAATGAGTAAAGGAACAAAAAGTCACCAACAAATGGACAACTTATATATTAATGCTAAATTTAAGCTTATTTCAACTAATCTTAGTAGTATACCACCGTATGACTGTAATGAAAATGATTTACTAAGGTTTATAGAACAAATTGATTGACTGAATTTTGCTAATGATAAAAAGTTTCATTCATCAATCATGGAGAGAAAAATTCGAACAAATTGATAAAATAAGGTTTTGCCGATGCGATTCAACTATAGAAAATGTTTATAATAAGCTAATTACTTTACTATGAATAGAATAGCTCTCAATTCTTTTAAACACTTTTTATCAGAACTAGTAAAAAGTATTTTAGCTAGTAAAAATCCTGAAGATTTAAAAGATGTTTATAATATAAGACTGAATATTTAATATATAATGGTCAACTTAACTGTTTCACTAACAAATAATAAATTGACATTTGAAGGCAGACCAGTTTTACAACAAAAGTAATGGTACTGGACAAAATTACGAATATAAAAACTGCAGTGGACAATGCAACAATAACGCTAGTAGAGGACACTATTGCAACAATACTAATTATGAACGACTTCAAGAACAACAAGGACAGCGGCGTAATAATAACTTATACCCGAACTCTTCGGTACAGTCGAGGTTTACATCTAATACTCGTATTAATGCTCAAAAGATTTTCCACAAAATCAATATTACTTTGCTCCAAATAGTAATATTATTTCGAATAATGAAAATCCCGGCCAGTCATCAATCGAACCAATGGAAATTGGAAATATTCAATTAGCAGCTGGAGAAAACTACCCTATGTAATTATAAATACGCATATAAGGAAACTCAGATTTATTATCGATACAGAAGCGGAGTTTAGTGTGTGGCAATCACAAATATTGGTGACGCCGACGGTAGCAAAAATGGCCGAAGAGGACGCGCTAAATCAGTTGGCACAAAATTTGAAGCCTCGTAGCGTGAAAGTTGCTAAAGTGTCCATCAAAATTCAACCATTCTGGCACGCAAAGCCAGAACTTTCGATCGCACAAGTGGAGTCATAATTTATTGCCGCAGGGATAACGAGCGACCAGACCAAGTATCACACTGTCGTGACCGCAATAGAAAGCAACGTGCTAGCACAAATAAGTGACAGTATTCTCTATCCACCGAACAGCGACATACCCAACACTAAAAAATCGCATAATTACGCAATTCGCAGACTCCGAGCAAAAACTTGTAAAAAAGCTACTACAAGAACAAGAGCTTGGTGACATGCGCCCATGACACTTCTTCCGCGAGATGCGTAGTTTAGCAGGCATCGAAATAAACGACAACATACTCAAGTCTATTTAGATGAGTCGGTTACCATCCAACATGCGACTAATAACTTCCATCTGCAACAATCCCCTGTACATAGTAGTTCTGCTCGCAGAAAAAATTATTTGTAAGCTGGAATTCGAATTTAGTAATTTTTAAAACTCTGAGTCAGATTTTTGAGTCTTTCCAAGTTTGAAGAAGTCTATGGTGTTTGAAACATGTATGGCGTCAATGCGTGACATTGTATCTGCTATTATGTTGTTTTTTCCGGCAGCTTTCGACTCCATATACAACATGGCACACACCGGCGCCTCCAAAGCCACAAAATTGGTCGCGGAGAAGTTCGTGTTGCCTGGTCTCCGAAAAGATTGCCACTTATGGTCCAGGCAGTGCATTTCATGCCAAAGAGCCAAAATACAACGCCACAACAGAGCACCCCAATCAACATTCATTTTACCGGATCAATGATTTGACCACATCAACATGGATATCGATACAGCTTGACAATAGTCGATCGTTATTCTAGATGGTTGGAGGCATACCGGCTCGAAGATATGACGACAGAAACAATTGCTTTTAATTTCTACACACAAGAGTAACAAAGAACCAGGGAAGACAATTTGAATCTGCGCTCTTCCGAGACCTTGCTAGAATTTTAGGCATAAAACATTTACGTACCACCGCGTACCACCCAGTGTCAAATGGGCTCATCGAGCGATGGCATAGATCCCTGAAAGCAGCGATAAAATGCCACATGACGGACAAATGAGTCGAAGTTCTCCCAGTAATTCTCTTAGGCTTTCGTTCCGCATGGAGAGATGACTTAAAAGCGACACTCGCAGAAATGGTAAATTAAGTTGAAGAAAAGTAATATATAAAAATATATTGTTGTTTATGTGGTTGCAAATGATTTTATTACGGTGTAAACCAAAACGCCGTCGTTTCAACCCGGTGTATTAGTGGAGTGCGGTAGAAGAAAAAACGCTTGTGGAGTTCCTAATGGAAAATAGAAGTTTCGAGGTTTGTTATTTCTACTTTTAAACAAACAACAACGTCAAATAATTTTTGATAAAAAGAAACCAACGGCTCAAAACTTCTATGGACGGCTTATCCAAGAAAAGCAAGTGGCGGTAGGATGGAAAATAGTGCGCGCAAAAGTTCGCAACATGCGCACTAGTTATAATAAAGCAAAGGCGTGGGAAGGGTCGACAGATGCAGAAAGTATGGAAGGCGATACAATAAAAAGTAAATTCTTTTAATGAAATCTCATTTTGTTTTAGTTGTGACCATGATTTTTTCTTTAGATACTTTACACAAAATATGTTTGTTCTATGAGGAGTTGGAGGACATTTTCGGCAGCATATTAAATAGTTCGGCAGTAGTGGAAGACAACTGATGACCCTAATATAAAGCATTTTAACAAGTCCATTGAAAGCAGAAGAAGCGGGCAGTTCAGCTGAAGTTGAAGATGTGGCGCAAACACAAAGTCGAAGGCAGAAGGGAATTTATTCCCTTAACTGCCTTGTCGGATATTTTAGATGTTTAGACTGCGAAGGAACCAAAAGTTAGAGATGGATGTGGCAGCAAGGGAAAGGGAAATGTCAATTAAAAAAAAAGAACTAGAGTTAAAGGAAAAAGAAATTGTGCTAAAAAAAGAGAAATTGACGATAAATTAGAAATAGAAAAAATAAAGTTGCAAATGCAGGAGAGGTTGGCAATGGAGGAACTTAGACCAGAGAACTTAAAACAACGAGAAGGTGCAAATTGAATTTTGTATGATGCTCGATTGGTTGGCTGAAAATTTAAGATCAAGGAGTTCACCATTTTCTGATATATTTTCTGTTATTTAACAGAAATGA